CTCCAATTGCTTGTGAAATGTCAGGACGCGTACACACCATTGCATACATCAAGCTCCCAACTGCATTAGCATATGGAACTTTTGCTATATACTCGTTCTTTGTTAGTTTTAGGAGATAACTGAGAACTAAGTTTCAAATAAGAAGCTAGTGGGATACTTATATGTTTTGTATTTTCATTCATGCCAAAACATTGTAATACCTTTCTCAGATATTGCTTCTAAGTTAAACAAAGCTTCCCTCTTTGTCTATCTCTGCTTATCTCTATACTAAGAATCTTCTTGGCCTCACCTAGATCTTTCATCTCAAACTCATGATTTAACTGAGCCTTTAATTTGTCTATCTCCTTTTGACTCTTCGAAGCGATCATTATATCGTCAACGTACAAGAGAAGATAAATGAAAGATCTATCTTTGAGCTTTTACAAATACACATAATGATCATATTTGCTTCTAGTGTACTTTTGCCTCCTCATAAAGCTATAAAATCGCTTTTACCATTACCTCGGAGATTACTTCAATCCATATAGAGATTTGTTCAGCTTACAAACATATTTCTCACAACCACCATCTTTATAACCTTCTCGTTGCGTCATATAGATCTCCTCTTCTAAATCACCGTGCAAGAAAGTTTTCTTTACATCAAGTTGAGCTAGCTCCAAATTCAACTGTGCTACTAAGGCCAACAATATTCTAATGGAGGAATGTTTCACAACAGGGGAAAATACTTTATTGTAGTCGATTCCCTCCTTTTAAGCGTAGCCTTTAGCTATTAACCTTGCCTTGTAGCGAACATCTTTCTTGCTATGAGATCCATCTTTATTTGCAGATACCCACTTGCATCCAATTTCTCTTTTACCTTTCAGTAATTATGCCAGTTTCCAAGTGTTATTCTTTTGGAGAGATTGTATTTCTTTATCCATGGCACTTTTCCACTTATCACTTTCCAAGCTTTGTATTCTTCTTGGTAAGTGATAGGGATATCATCATCAACAACTGGAAGAGCATAGGCCACCATATCAATAAATCGAGCAAGTTTACGAATTTCTCTCCTTTTCCTTGTAACTGTAAGTGGTTCTGGTGTCTTCAATGGTTCTTGGGTTTGAACCTCTTCATCTTCTGATTCTTATATTGGATTTGAAGAATCATCTGCAACAACTTCTGGGATCATCGTCTGTTGAAACTCCACCTGTTTTGGAGTATGCTCCACCTGTTGCAGAGTACTACTTATCTGGACAGCTTCATTTGTTACCTTCTTTACTAGGGCAGATTCATCAAAGGTAACATCTCTGCTATAAATTATCTTCTTGGTGTCTAAACACCAAAGGCGGAATCCCTTCACTCTATGGGTGATTCCCATAAAAAGATCCTTCTTTGCTCTCGGATCAAGCTTAGATTCATTCACATGATAATAAGTAGTGGATTTATATACATGTAAGGAATCATAATCAGTAGTAGATTTTTCAGACCATACCTCCAATGGTGTTTTTCCTCCTATCGTTGATGATGATAGATAATTAAAGAGATGGCCAGCATATGTCACAGCCTTAGCCCAAAATGCCTTACTTAACCCAGTATTAGACAACATACATCAAACTTTCTCCAATAGTGTTCGATTCATACACTCTGTCACCCCATTTTATTGTGGTGTATTTCTAACAGTGAAGTGTCGAACAATACCATATTCATGGTAAACTTCAAAGAATGGGCCACTTTTATATTCCCCTCTATTCTCTGTCCTAAGACGTTTGATCTTTCTACTAGTTTGGTTCTCGATCATATTTTTCCATTTAAGGAAAATTCGAAGCACTTCATCTTTAACTTCGTCGGATACACCCAAACTCTTCTGGAAAAGTCATTACAAAAGTTACAAAATAATGGTTTTTCCCAAAGACGGTGTCTTTGAAGGACCCCATACATATGAGTGAATATAATCCATAATACTTTTTGTATTATGTATATTGGTGCCAAAATTCACTCTCTTCTGCTTTCCCAGAACAAAATGCTCGTAAAAGTTCAATTTGCAAGCCTTTGCACATTTCAACAATCCTTTCTTTGCCAAAATTTGCAAGGATTTCTCTCCAGCATGTCCCAACCGCACATGCCACAACTGGGTTGTGTCCAAATCATCACCTCTGGAAGCTGCTGTAACTGCTCCAATAATTGTACTACCTTGGTAGTAATACAAATTATTTTTCCTGATGCCCTTCATCATCACAAGTGTGCCAGATGTAACTTTTAAAACTCCATCTCTCATAGTGACTACTGAGCCTTTGGATTCCAAGGCTCCCAACGAGATGAGATTTTTCTTCAAATTGGGCACGTATCGGACATCAGTTAGAACTGTGGTTGATCCATCTTGATTCTTCAATCGAATTGAACATATCCCAACAGTTTTAGAGGCTTTATCATTGCCCATATAAACAACTCCTACATTTAGTTCTACTAAATTAGAGAACCACTCCCGATTAGGGGACATATGATGGGTACAACTCGAATCTAATATCCACTCATCTGAATGGAATGTTGTTGATGAATCAACCAATGATATGTCAGAATCATTTGCATCATGCTCTTCAACACATGCATCTGGAGCAGCTTTTCCTTTCTTCTTCAGCTTCGAACAATCTTTCTTCCAATGGCCTTTCTCATGACAAAAGTCACATTCATCTTTTTCCAGTCTGGACTTCGACTTTGATCTCCCTCTCCCCTTTGGCTTTTGACTTTTTGAGTGACCTCTTGCCACCATGGCCTCTGCTCTTCGTACTTGCTCTCCTTCTTGGTTTTCTTCCTGGCTCATAACTATACAAGCACAGTTACATCTTTAAGGGTAACATTATCCTTACCATGAAGTAACGTTGTCTCAATGTGCTCAAATTCATCTAGAAGAGATGACAACAACATTAAAGCCAAATCTTCATCTTTGAAGGTTTCATCCATGCCCAATAAGTCTGCCACTAGCTCATTGAACGCAGTGATGTGTTCATTCATATTGGTGCCTGGTTGATAATCAAATATGAACAATCTTTTCTTCATATGGAGAGGATTCTAAGAGCTTTTCTTTAGGAATTTTTCCTCCAATGCTTTCCACATCTTACTTGCAAAAGTCTCGTTCTTATAGCCATACTTCTGCTCCTTGGAAAGACAAGATCGAATCGTGTTGCATGTCAAACGATTGATTGTTCCTCATTCTTTCTCCTCCATATATTCGGCCTTTGCTTCCTCAATGGCGATACCTAGACCTTGTTGGAATAAAGCGTCTAACACCTCGCCTTGTCACATGCCAAAATGACTAGATCCATCGAACAACTCCACTGAGAAATTTGCACTTGACATCATCCTCCTCACCGGTCCAGATGAAGAGCTTGATGTCTCAATTGATCCGTATTTTGGCATTTTAATTCTAAAGAATAATATTCAATAGCACGAACTGTATCTTTTCAGCAACAGGAGTATGAGGATAACCTCAACCGAAGCTCTGATGCCAATTGTTGGGGAAACCGAGTTATTTCCCACACGAACGTAGTTTCAAAATTGACCTAAAATGTTAAGATCAAAAACCACCAAAGGTTGCACAACGGATAAACCCGTCAAACTATTGAATATTGAAACACGATTTGAAAACCGAATAAAAAACCATAAAGGAGAGAACACTCCAAATTTACGAGGTTCGACGAGAATATCGTCTACTCCTCGGGCACCACAGCGGATGATAACTTCACTGTCAACAAATATTACAACAAATGAAATTCTTTAGAATTCCCAAAGTGAGAGATTGGAGAAAATAAGAGGAATAGAGAACTTGTTTTTGGGATTATTTCTAATGAAATACTTAGGCATATTTGTAGTTTAGTTTTAAAGACTAAACTTATAAATAACCTAATATTTTAGGGACCAAAGATGAAATTCCCATATGCAAAGTTGGTCATCTACCAAAGATGAATTTTCCAATAAGTTGGCCACCAACCAAGATGAATTTTCCAACTTGCCAAATTTGATTTAAAGCCAAACATAACAAAGGAATGGTAACCAGTATTAAAGGAGAATTCAGCTCAGGATAAGTCATTACTCCAAGTTCGTTGCTACACTTGAGCAAAACATCTGAGGTAAATTTCAAGGCACCTTTTAATCATTTCCATTTGGCAGTCAGATTCGGGATGATAGGCGGTACCCATCCGAAGCTTGGTGGTGTTGCTTACCCGAAAAAGTTCTTTCCGGAAAGCACTGAGGAAAACCATATAGCAGTCTAATAAAATCGATTTTGGGGGACTATTTAGCCTCACTATTTCCTTGCAAAAAGTTTCAGCAACAGATTTGGCAGTATAAAGGTTAGAGAGGAATAAAATGAGAGATGGTCCACGACCTCTGATATAATGTCATAGCCACCAGATCGAGGAAGTCCAAAAATAAAATCCAGTGAAATGTCTTCCCATGTTTGAGCAGGTATAGGTAATGGTTGCAAGAAGCAAGCTGGTGTTAATGCTTTATATTTGGCTTGTTTTCACCGATGGAAGCAACTTGAGTGGCTACGGGATCGGTATTAGGTGAAACAAATCTTGTTGTAGTTGAAGTGGCTTAGCAGATAAATAGGTGATGGTCATAATGGATCAACCTGCTCTGGTACCAAACTGGTAGGAACTTCAGAATTTTATTAGATGAAATGTAATTTATTTACAAACTGAGTGCAATAATCTTAAACACTTATCTACCCTGTTTAAAATAAAATAAACAAGAAAATATTTAAATCCAAGATTCCTAAAGCTTTGAAAAAATAACAAAACAGCGCAGGTAGTGAAAATCTTACTGAAATGTGCTGAACATGCAGAACTGCCCTAAAAATCCTGAAACTGTAGACAACAGATGGAGACCATTACCTTCTTTATTGTAAACTCCTAACCCACGTGAGCTTCCTGTGACTACTTTATTTGTTTCTAAAATATGTCTTAATAGGAGATGTCGCATCATACTGTGGTGTTTTGCTTCCTTAATATAAATGCCTATAGTTACTATGTACCATCAGGGACTCATTTGATTGAAGTAGTTGCAATGGGCTATTTCTTTTCTCCAGTAAGCTTTTTATTTCTCACCAGTCTCTTGACTTTCCATGTAGTTATTCTTGTGTTTTTCATTTCCCCTTTAACATTGATTTATTTTAAACTTTCTTGGGTTCGAGTCGATGTTAGTGCCAGAAACCCGGGCAAGGTACATGCAGCCTTGACAGAGAACAAGAGGGGTCTCAGCGAATTGGTTTTAAAGCCATTGAGAAATGAACAATATTATGAGGTTGAGTAACCTTTTGGTATTCATGTTTATGTTTCCTTTTGCTTTTAAGTTGTTATCTATGGTTTTGCCTCATATTTATGTTTATGTTGCAAGCTAGGGAACCTTTCTCCATAAAGTCTCTTCTGAAAAGTCCAATGGGTCTCATGTTGGGATTTATGATGGTGGTTGCATTTTTTATGCCCAAATTAGTGGAAAACATGGGTGAAGTACTCTTATCACTAGTTGAGTTGTATTTCCAACTTTCTCATGTGACTACCTCTACCTTCCCCTCATGACAGTTAGCTGAAAATCCTATGTTCAAGTATTTGTGTCTAACTATATCATATTAGATATGTATTTATTCATATCTGACACTCCCACCTGAATTCGAGTAACACAGTAAAAAACTGCTCTTCTCAAAGGGTAGCTTGAAATGTAAGTTTTTACTAATTTTATTTTCAACATATTGTTTGTTCCAATAGATCCCGAAGAAATGAGACGAGCTCACGAGGAAATGAGAGGCCAAGGAGCTCATTCTATGTCTACTTTGCTACCTGGAGGTGTGAGGAATTAAGTGATTTGATCAGGAACCATAAACTCTATGGTTGGTAGATGCGAAGGGATGGTTCAAAAGTCAAGCTTGGACGGTTGGTATTCTTCCTTACCCCAATCTTCATTGCTTGCTTGATAAAACAATGGACGTCGATATCCTTTGATTTCCTTTGAGCCATCTCAAATTCCTTTTGTAGTTATGAATCCTTCACATTTTCCTACTTTAACTTGTTTTACCACCTATTCGTTACTTGACAATCTTTGAACTAGAGAATTATCAACTTTTGAGGAACATAGAATTATTTCAGAATTATATATATATATTATAGCTATTATATCTTATTTATCAATTGATTAATTCAGATCAAAAACTGCATATACTTATTGTAAGGACGACTCTTCCAATTAATTTATCAGCTAGATGATGGGCAATGGTGTGATGACCAAGATTTGCTTCAAAGACATGCTGTTAATTTTTTCCGCAAGTTATTCACTTCTACAAATCGAGCGGCTTCCCCCAGTGCAATTTCAGGGGGTTCCGACAGGTTGAAGCAAGTAGATTAAATGCTCTGATCCGTAAGGTGAGTATTGAGGAGGTGTGCCAAACGGTCTTCATGATGGAGCCTTTTAAGGCTCCGGGAATAGACGGATATCAGGCGGTGTTTTTACAAAAAAAAAATTAGAGCGTTTAGGCAGAAAGCTTGCTGCAATTCGTGACTGGTTTATGGAGAAGGATATCTTCCATGAATGGGCAAACAAGACTTTGTTGGTGGTGATTACTAAGGTTGAGGTACCGGAAAGAATTTCTCAGTTCCAGCCTATAAGTTTATGCACGGTACCATATAAAATAATAACCAAGTTATTGGTTAATCGCCTAAAGCAGTTTCTTCCGGACTGGGTGGCTCCTAATCAATCAAGCTTTGTACCGGGGAGGAACATAACTGATAACATAATTCTTGCTCAAAAAGTGATTCACTCGATGAATATCAAGTTCAGATTGAAGGCTTGGATGGCTATCAAAGTGGACTTGGAGAAAGCTTATGATCGACTGGAATGAGACTTCATCGAGGAAACTTTAGTTGAAGTAGGGCTTCCGAACAGGTTTATCAGATGGATTATGAAGTGTGTTACTACAGTTTCTACACAGGTGTTATGGAATGGCAGTGTATCGGAAAGTTTTAATCCTACGAGGGGAATCCGTCAGGGTGATCCACTATCACCTTACTTATTTGTCCTATGTATGGAACGTCTCTCCCATGCAATAAATAATCGTGTTGAAGGAGCCTGGAAGCATATTCATTTATTTCGCAATGGCCCTCGGATATCGTATTTGTTTTTTGTTGACGATTTGATTCTTTCTCAGAAGCCTCCCTTGATCAAGCTACAGTTATAGGGGGAGCTATGGAACTTTTCTGCGCAAGCTCCGACCATCGAGTAAGTGAAGAGAAAACTAAGGTATTCTTCTCTAAAAATTGTGATAGAAATTTGAAGAACTTGATTTGGGAGTTCCTTTGTTACATAGCAGTGACTAAGGCCACTTTTAGTTACCTCGTGGAAAAAGTAAAACAAAGACTATCCGGGTGGGCAGCAAAAACTTTATCGCTAACAGGGCGAATTACTCTTGCTAAAGTTGTTCTTCAGACGATTCCTTCATATGCTATGCAGGTGACCTGGCTTCCAAAAGAGGCGTGTGATACTATAGAGAAAATGATAAGAAGATTTGTGTGGAATGCTAAGGATTGAATAGCTTGGCATTGGTTCGATGGGATATGATTAAACTTCCGGTACAAAATGGTGGATTGGGCATGAAGAACCTAGATAGGCAAAATAAGGCGTTTCTAATGAAAATTGGTATGCAATTGATTGAAGGAGCGGACAAGCTGTGGGTTCGAGTGCTCAAAAGTAAATATCGTTGGAATGATCGGATACCTGATTCTATAACTAGACAAAGATGCTCAAGGTTATGGAAAGGATTGACTTGTATGTGGGATGATTTAAGGAAGAGTATCTTTTGGAATGTTCAGAATGAAGCGATTAAAGATTTTCGGTATGATAATTGGATTGATAACACTGAAACATTTATAGCATTTTATCAAAATGGTGAGCCTCCTCCACCGAGACCAGTAAATGTGATGGTTACGCCTTCAGGTCAATGGGATTGGAATTCTTTAAGAACAGTGTTACCTGTTCGAATTTGCGATTGTATCGCTGCTATTTGCCCGCCCGAACAATCTTTTGGTGATGACGCTCCTAGGAGGAGATGGGAACACATCCACACTTTCTCAACTCGATCAACATACAAGGCGTTGACACCTCCTGAGAGTAGTGTCAGTACAAATCGATGGCAGTTTGTGTGGAAATTAAATGGTCCACAACAGCTTCGAGTTTTCTTGTGGGTGGCTTTACGTGGGGGGTTGCTCGCTAATGAGGAAAGTTATCGAAGAGAACTGGTAAACTCGACAGTGTGTGGTTTATGTCATCGAGAGGAGGAGGATATGAATTATGTATTACGTCGTTGTCCTTTTGCATTTGAAATCTGGCGCAAGGTGATTAAATCGGAAAAACTACGGTATTTTATGGAGATGCCTTGTGAGGAATGGCTTTCAATGAATGCTCAAGGTCAAGGGGATTTTTCTGTAAATATTAGGTATTGCAGTGATGCAAACCAGAAAATACAAACTGGAACTGAAGAACTTGTTTATTAAGCAATGTTATTCTTATTATGATTTACACCTTAGCTACACTTAATACTTATAGCTCATTTGTAACTAACTTGAAACAACCTAACAGTTTGAAAACTGATTCTTAACTTCCTTTACACACAGCCCAACTTCCTCAGCTAACTGCTTCCATGCATATACGCATATCACACACACGGCACCTTATGCACACACATGCCACGCACACTATACCTTGACATTCTCTCCACTTCTTCTTCCTTCCTTCTCCTAACAAACATCACCCTTAGTTTTTTGGGAAACTGCTCAAACGCTGGCTTAGTGAGTGGCTTGGTTAGACCATCAACCACCTGATACTCGGCAGGAACATAGTAACTCTAAGTTGCCCAGCAGCAATCTTCTCACACACAAAGTGAACATCTAGTTCAACATGCTTGGATCGAGCATGACAAAAGATTTACACTCAAATCAACCGCACTCGTGTTATCACACCAAATAACGGGTACATCCGATGCCGAGAAGCCAAGATCACGGAGCAGTGCAGTCTTCTGCTTCCTGGAGCTCCACACAACCAAGCTCCCTCCAAGAAAGACACAGTAACCGGTCATGGACTTACGATCACGGACATCGCCAGCCCAATCCACATGTAAGAACCCTTTAACACATAGCCAAGCATCATGATTTGAGAACATCAAGCCATAATCTAGCGTGCCTGTCAAATATCGCAAGATTCACTTGACTAGCACAAGGTGAACATCTCGAGGGAACTGCATGAACTGCGCCACCTTATTAACTGCGAACGCTATATCCGGTCGAGTATGGCACACATATAATAGGGCTCCTACAATGCTTCGATACTCTCGAGCATTAGACAGTGGCTTACCCTCTTGATCAGCAACCTTCGCAGCAATCATCGGAGTACACACAACAGTTGCTTTGCTCATGTCAGTTTTTTTTAACAACTCGCAAATGTAAGCTCGCTGGTTTAGCATCAAGCCAGCTCCTAAGTTCTTGACTTCTATGCCCAAGAAATATGACAATTCACCAAGGTCTTTAAGTGAAAACCGATTGCTAAGCATACATACACAAGGGCATAGGTACAACAATCATTCTGAAGTCTAACAAATAATGACACATCCGCCTTTGACTCCACAAAACCTAGGTCCAAAAATATCGACTTCAGCTTTTCATTCCAGTTTCGAGGCGCTTGGCGAAGACCATAGAGTGCCTTCTGCAACTTACACTCCAATGGCGTACCATCTACAACATACTATTCGAACCCTGGAAGCTGCTGCATATACACCTCTTCATTCAAAAACGCATTATTAACAACAACTTGCCTTAACATCCAGCCTTTTGCAACTGCCAAGGCAAGAAGTACATACACAGTTGAGAATTTCACCACTGGGCTGAAGGTATTTTTGAAATCGAGTCCAGGCACTTGTGTAAAACCTCTCGCAACCAACCAAGCCTTGTGCCTATGCACAGACCCGTCAGGGTTCTTTTTGAGTTTAAATAACCACTTGCACCCTACCACATTTCGATCAGCAGGTAGAGAAACAAGAGTCCACGTATTATTCTAAAGCAACGCTGAATACTCAACATTCACTGCAGCAGTCCACGGTTCTGATTGAAGAGCTTCTTCAATAGTGGATGGAACATTATCATCAAAAAAGTAGTATAAATATTCGGCTTAAAAACCCCACACTTACTTCGTGTTAACATTGGGTGACTATTACCAGCTGCAGATTCTGTTCTGACAACAGGCAACGATTGAACCTCTTGAGCAATTTCAGGTACTAATTGATCAGCACCAGGATCTACAGACATATCAGTTGACTCACTAGCCATGTCTGACCGCATGACACTATCATCAGATGCACCTGTAGGCAGTGCAGCAACATTTGCACGTGAACATTCTCAATGCCCAGCTTGGTAGTGTCCATAACTATATCAAGTTATCGGCTAAACGGTGTCCCAATTGATGACTGAACAGCAGGCGTGGTAGTAGCAAATGGAAAGTGCCACTCATCAAAGCGCACGTGACGAGAGACTATGACCCGTTTATCAGGTGTTAAGCAAAGAAATCCTCGGTGCTGAGGACTTACGCCCAGAAACATGTACGGCTGTGATCAAAAATCCAACTTATGACTATTGAAAGGACGCAGGTGAGGAAAACAGCCACAGTCAAACACCTTGAGTGAGTTGTAATTGGGCAGTTTACTAAACATGCATTCAAATGGAGACCTGCCAGCTAAAACTTTTGAAGGCAATCGATTAATCAAATGTACCGCTATCATCATCGCATATGGCCAGTAGCTAACTGGTTTAGAAGCCTGTGCAAGAAGCACCAAGGCAAGTTTAACTATATGTCTGTGCTTACGCTCTACCATACCGTTTTGTTCTGACGTGTGTGGGCAAGTAACATGATATACAACTCCAGCTTCAGTAAGTACCCGAGACAACCTTCAATACTCACCACCCCAATCGCTTTGAACAGCCAAAATTTTCACCCCAAACTGCGTTAGCACTACCTGCTGGAAGAGTTGAAATGCATGAATAGCTTGAGACTTATCCTTGAGAAGGTATAACCATGTATGTCGAGTACAAGCATCGACAAAACTAACATAGTACCTATGACCATTCGAAGCAACAGGGGATGGTCCCCATAAATCAATAAACATGAGCTGAAAAGGTGAGTAATACGTAGTGGACGAATTAGAGAATGGAAGCTTATGGATCTTTCCCATATGGCAAGCAACACAAATTCCATTAACATCTTGTTCAAGATTTACATCAATCATCTTCCATACCTGCTCAAGGGTCCTATGTGCAGGATGCCCAAGGCGTCTATGCCACAATTCATACAACTTTTGCATAGCAACAACATTATTTGCTTCAAAAGAAGCTTGTGTATTATTAATGCAATCAACTCGAAATGTATAGAGTCCATCCTTTTCCTGTCCTTGCAGCAGCACCTCACCAGTATCTTCATCACGAACACAGCAAGACGAGGCATGAAACTCGAAATATACCCGGTTGTCCCTAGCAAGCTTATAGACCGAGAGAAGATTTTTAGTAATCTTAGGAACAAGCAGCAGCTCATTCAACATCAAAGCTCGAGAAGATAAACCAAAAACAGTGTTACCGATGGCTCAAATAGAAAGCGAACCTCTATTACCAACAACAAGCTTACCTGGCCCGAAGAAACCCTTCTGATTAAGCACCTTGGTCGAATCTGAGGTGACATGGTGTGAGGCCCCAGAGTCGACTACCCAGTGGTCCCTTGTGCTGGAGGCTATATGACAATGCGGTTGCGAGGAATAACAAACCTGAGCTTCTACACGAGCCTTTGTACAACATGTACATTCTTCCACACTACCTGAAGCAGAATCCAGACTGGAGTAGTGAACTATCCCTGAGTCACCACGCGACATGGTACGATCAGACGACCTACCAGTGAACGTTTGATCATACATGTACCAGCAGTCAACAACCACGTGTCCATTCTTCCCACATAATTAACACTGAACGCGAGGTCGACCATGGCCACGACCTCCAAATCTACCCCCAGCACCAGGCCTTGACCATCCAGATGATCGAGCATGCACGCTATGACCAGCAAATTTCAAGGCAGAATTGGACTGAGCTACATGAGCACTCATTGGAAGGGAATCTTCTTGGGCATCAAAACCGGCCAGCTGAGTTTCTGCATCGATAAGCATCGAGCAGATCTTGTCCAGTGACAAGGAATCTTTCATGGTGGTTATGAAAGCAATGTATGGCTGATACTCACGGGGAAGACCCTTTAATATGCTTGCTACATATTCAGCCCTGTGGAATTGGACTATCACAGGAAACCAACGAATCACATACTTCTTTGATACGGGTTAGATACACACGCATACTATTGGTTCCTTTCTTGATAGACTGAAGCTTGTAGTGGAGACTAATGACTGCTGTGGTGGATCGAATGGCAAATAACTGCAACATCGTGCTCCAGACCGCCGTTGTCGTCTCCGCTCCAACAAATTGGGACAGCAAGTGAGGGCTGATCATGGATAGCAGCCAAGACGCGAGCGCACTGTCTTGCACCACATACTCCTCGTGCAGTTCATTCGGCACTAAATCACCACGCTCATCGACCACCGTGGCAGGAAAAGGACAAGCAGCTCCGATTAGTAGTCGTTCTAAGCGATGACTTCAAACAGTTAACAAGATTTGTTGCTTCCAAAGTAAAAAGTTGGATTCATCAAGAATGATATTATCTTTTTTTATTTGTGAAGGATTTACCAGCAATGAACTCCATGGATCACTTGAAGCGCAGACAGTGAGGAAGAAACCTCAGGAACTATCGGCGAATGATACCATATTAGGTATTGTAGTGATGCAAACCAGAAAATACAAACTGGAACTAAAGAACTTGTTTATTAAGCAATGTTATTCTTATTATGATTTACACCTTAGCTACACTTAATATTTATAGCTCATTTGTAACTAACTTGAAACAACCTAACAGCTTGAAAACTGATTCTTAACTACCTTTACACACAGCCCAACTTCTTCAGCTAACTGCTTCCATGCATATACGCATATCACACACACGGCACCTTATGCACACACATGCCACGCACACTATACCTTGACAGTAAATAACCTTAATTCATACTTGCTGTTTTTTATTTTATGCTGGAAGATATGGAAGTGTCGTTATTATGTTCTATTTCAGCATGATTATGTAGAGCGGGGTGATTTTTTAACTCACTGCTTGCGGTTAAGGAATGATTTCCTAGAGGCTGAGGTGCGTCGAAATGGTAACGGTATTTCACAATAAGAGGAACCTTGCTGGAAGAAGCCTGAACTAGGCTGGGTGAAAGCAAATGCAGACGATGCAATGGGAGGTTCGTTGGAAATGGTTGTAGCGGGAGGGGTGATCCGGGATTCTGATGGAAATTAGATTCGAGGTTTCTCACGAAGCATTGGCGTATGTACTGCTTTGAGTGCCGGACAATGGGTTATCCATGACACCTTGTTACTCGCATGGAATATGGGGTTTCGGAAGGTAGAAGTTGAAAATGACTGTAGGTTGCTGATGAAACTCTCAATGTTGCATCACATGAAGGAGAAAATTGTGCAATTGTTATGAGAATCAGGGGTTTATTGCTTCGAGAGTGGAAAACGAGGGTGCAGTTTACACGTAGTGAGGTTAATATGGTTACAGACATACTTGCTGCTACGGCTAGAGGAAGAAGCATTGTAACGTTTATTCACTTGGAGCCTCCTCGTAAGGTGGAGGAGATAGTTTTGAGGGAGGTGAATCCCGTAGCTCAGTCTTGTTTATTTCAGTATTATCGAAAAAAAATTCAAATTTGAATTTTTAATCTTCAACACTTATATCAAAAAATTTAGAGTAACAATTCAAAAAAAAAAAAAGTAATTGCAATACAAGCAATGGTTCAAATTCTTAATTAGTTTCAAAATTTTAAGACATCCTAATTAAAATTTTAAAACATCATTATTATATCGATCAAATTCTTCCATTAAAGTGGTTGTTATTAATTTAATATGACGTGAAACATATTTAAAATATGTAGATCAGATTGTAAATATACGTATTTATTTCATAAACACTTTGAATATGACATATTATAATCTTAAAATATATTTATATTGCATACTTTTTGAAACACTTTCTCCAAATTATTTATATATATATTAATTCTTTTATACAAGGGCCTGACCTCAGTGGTTAAGATACTTGTTAGTATCCCTTGAGATCTCGAGTTCGAACATCACATAGAAGGATGGGTATGGGTCGTGTTCGGGTCGAGTTTAGGTCAACTCGACCCGACCCGAAAATATATAGCCTCCACCCGAAATCTGACCCGACCTGAGTTTAAGGGTGACTTCATCTAACCCAAATCCGACCCAACCCGACCCGAAATATATATATTATGTTTATTCAATAAAAATATAGATCTAATTTGATAAAAATAATTTATAAGGGTTATTATAGTAATTTCCCTAAATATATAAGGTAAATTTAAATTATTTTTGGGATCGGATATTTTTCACCCTAGACCGGAACCCAACCTAATCCAAACTCGTTTTTTTTAAAATTTGACCCGATCGGGTCGGGTTGGGTTCGGGTCCTGTGCCCATCCTTGATCACATATGCAGATGTATGAACCTTTGTTTTTAAGGGATTGAAAGTTTTTTTAACATATACTACATTATATTTACCCTAGATTTATAAAAAAAAAAAAACTTTTTATCCATTTTTAAAAAAATATATATTACCAAATTCAAAAATAATATTTAAAGTCTTTTAACTTAATCCTTCTATTATTATCTACATAAGTATAACCTCAGAATGTTATATCATTTAAATAATTTATGGACCAAAATAAAATTCAAATACTAAACTTTAAAAAAAATTATCAAGTTTAAAACTAAATTTTATTTTATTATTTTCTTAAAAATTCACATTTTTTACCTATAATTGATATATTTCAGAATATTTTTATATATGTTTAATGAATCAAATTTTAAGGATATGTACTCCAATCATAATAAATATATATTTTCTAGAATATTTACAAGTAAATAAGAATATTTTACTATTTTTATTTATCGTGTTTATTAATGAAAAAAATTCCCTGCGAAGCGGGATATCGTACTTGCGTACAATAATTATCCAAATTCCTTTGACCTGATCTGATCTATAGGGCTTGTCCAAGCTAGGCGTAGGCCGAATCTAAGTGGGCTTGGCGCGTAAGACGATTCGTCAATTACCGCTCTCCTTAGGTCTCTCTCTCTCGCTCTCTTTTGCTCCCCTTAAGTTTCATTTCAAATTTTCCTCTCTTTCTTCTCTCTCTGATTCTTCGTAATTTCTTCATTGATTTGAATCCCTACACTCATTTCTCATTCTCAAATTTCTCGCTTCGTTCATTTTAATCACTCGAATTATAAAATAGATATTAGAGATCGCGATTAATTCTCCACTTTGGTTCTGTATCTGCGTTAAGAGTTTGAAATGGAGGGATTACCTACGACAACGAAAGGAGAGAGACGATGGAGATCGAAGAATATACAGACATCCAGTCCTTCTTTGCTGATGGCTTTTCTCTCTTGCGTCGCTTGGCTTTACGTCGCTGCCGGTTCGTTATTTCTCTGTCTTCAATTTTGCTTCTCAATATTTAATTCCACTGCTCCAGTCGGTAGATATCTTTTTCTCATTTTGGATTGTATTTAGGGGAAAAAAATTAGGTTCATAGAATCTAAAGTTATACTCATTTAAATCAGCCTAACATTTTTGTTAGATTGCTTTTTACTCAATTTCCGTTGTTTACAAACTTATTAATCTGAAATTTTCTTTTTCCCCCCCAAAAAATTTGGTTGTGTTTTTACCTTCGTCTTTGTTTTTCAGTTGCCAGTTCCACTACGCCAGTTTCATTGGATTTGTTTATTCATTTGGATTGCATTTAGAAAAAAGAAAAAGATAGTAGAATCTAAATTTATATTCAGTAAAATCAGCCTAGCATTTTTTTTTGGAAAAATATTTCCGTAGCTAATAATTACTTATTTATTATTTATTTTGCAAAAATTTGATGAAAATTAGGTTGTGACAAGATGCAGAGAACAGAAAATTGATTTCTGATATTCTTAAGAAGAACCTTGAACAGGTTAGGACTCAGAAGCCAAACAAAATTTCCTGGTTGTAGGCTTGTAGCTTATTTTCTCGGTTAATATTTGTTTTGTAAAATAGAATGTGCCTAGTATTCTATTATTGCAACTTTGAAACAACTGTAATTTAAGATCTTAATAATTAATGTGTCTATTTAACTATTTGCAGAGACCAAAGGTTCTTACAGTTGAAGATAAGCTGATGGTCCTAGGATGCAAGTAGGTTCCTCAATTATCATTCTTAGTGCACCTGTCGCGCAATTTTATGGTATAATACAACTGTATCTTTTTTTCCCTTTTTTGCATCTTGCTTAATAATGGACTTGAACTATAGGGATCTAGATAAGAGGACTGCAGAAGCAGAGATGGATTTGACCTTAGCTAAGAGTCAAGGGTACCTCAAGAACCAGTTGCGAACAAGTGAGTCTTTTTCAAAAAAAAAAAAAAAAGCTTGCAGTTATTGGAGTTTATACAAGATTTGCAGTTTATGTCTGATATTACTTAGACTACTAATATGCTGTTGCATGTTAGAACATATACATTGCTAAAAAATCACATCTTAACCACATTTGGATTTGACAGGTGATGCATTAAAAAAACTGGAGGAAAGGGTAGTGGTACGATTTGTGATTGGTCGGAGGTATATCATAATCTTCTGCCTTCATTTCATTCTCATGTTTTTTATATGAATTATTTATCTTATTTGCCCGGTTTCATTCACTGATATTGAAAAACGATGCAATTGTTGGGATAAAACATTGGATTAACTACTTTGGAATTGGTAGAAATAATCGAGGTGATAGCTTGGATCGCAATATCAATGAGGAAAATCATAAGACAAAGGATTTCTTGATACTTGTAAGTGATTGAATTTGAATATGATTGCAAATTTTATAATTGGCTTTTTCTTTGAAGGCCTAGATATCCTGCTTCCTGCATGGATGCTAAATCTTTTGTCTGTGTTGATAGCTATCTTTCTCACAATATCTCCGTAATCGGATGCAAAACTTTGGGTTTTATATAATTTCCCTGTTCCTCTTGAAAACTGATTAGCTTAAATGTAGATTATGATCATGCTTACCTCGTTGAATTATCAGGAGGGTCATGAGGAGGCTCAAGAGGAACTTCCTAAGAAAGTAAAATCCTTCTTCAGTACTGCAGTTCAAAATTGGGATGCCGAGTTTTATGTAAAAGTTGACGATAAAATTGGCATTGACCTTGGTGTGATTTCTAGCTTTTTATTTGTATAGAATATCACAACTTTATGTCTCTTGGCTATGTATGTTTATTCACTGGAACTCTGATATATCATCTACCCTTTTTTCTACTTGATAGAGGGATTGATTGGACTTCTTGAACACCGACGCCGTCAAGACAGTGCTTATATTGGATGCATGAAGTCGGGAGAGGTGTTTTCTGAAGTGTATGTATCTTTGATATGTAGTTTGTTATTGTCTGTTTTATCAAGATGGATCTTAATATACACCCATAGCGTCCTTTATGTGTTTCCCAGTACCTTCAATTGCTTTTAACATGTTCAATCTTTTCAAGAACAGATCCCCATTATAGATGCTAGAAAATAATAACTATACTCCAATTAAATATATCGATAATGCGTCTATGAGAACATCAAATTCTACTATGTGCCTTTTTTCCCGGTCACAGCTGTTACTTTGTTGATTGTGTTACAGATTTGCTACTGATTCTTAGGCTAATTCCTTGGCTAACTTATATTGTATTAAATATAATATATTATGTTACCTATTTTAGCTATATTAGTTGTGTATATATAGCCCTCTCTACTGATGAATAAAAGATAAGAGAAATTCATTCTTTACTGTTTCTACATGGTATCTGAGCTAATTTATGATAATATCTATTATCCAACTTGAGGGGGAGTGTTACAGATTTGCTACTAATTCTTAGGCTAATTCCTAGGCTAACTTATATTGTATTAAATGTAATACATTTTGTTACCTAGTTTAGCTATATTAGTTGTGTGTATATAGCCCTCTCTACTGATGAATAAAAGATAAGAGATTCATTTTTTTCTGTTTCTACAAATTGCAGCATGTCTGGACAATTTTGTTATACTTCTTTCAATGTTTGGTTATGTTTACTTTTCCCTAACTAGATATGAGAAGGTAGTCATTATTTTAAATGGTACGTTAAACTTGAGTTGTTTACATCTCAGTTCAGCTTTTGAGTACTTAAATTTTGTTGATTTCAGGGGAAAGGATTGGTATGAACCTGATTGGTGGAAATTTGGGGATCAGAAATCATAAGTTATCTAGTTTGTGGATGATTGCACAACCATATTTGTACTTCTATGTGTTTCTCATAAGTGTTAAACGCACAATCACTTAACATTCATTTAATTTGCATTTTTTGGGCAACTGTGCATGTGTCTGTTTGAGTGTCATCTTGTAGAAAGGAGGTCCCATCCTCTTTAATAGTTGCCAGTTATATGAGAATTTGATTAGCATTCTTCTGTTCAGGTATTTCCGACATGCCTCTGGTTCCCTTTTTATACTCTCCAAAAACCTTGTTCGGTATATCGATATAAACAGGTTAGTTGTTATTTGTTTATGTATAATTTTGAAAGAACGATATACACGCACTACTATGAGGTTCTGAAACTGAAGAAGGGCTAAGGTTTGACACCAGTGATTAAAGCAGTTTGTGTGCTTTAAGAGGATCTAGTCATGTTAGAGTATGGCAGTCCATGTGCAGAGTTTGCATTTGTCTGGAACTGAATGGTAGATGAGCGAATGCATATCTGCTTTATGTGTCAATCCCGAACCACTTTCACTACATGCAAAGTTGAACCTTGTCAGAGATTCATTTTGAAAAGTTTGTGCCGTGAACTATTCCTTGGTTCCATTTAATGCGATTTGAATTTTACTTCAGCTTATAATAAATGCAGTGAATCTTTGATGACTTATGCTTTTGATGATACATCTGTGGGATCTTGGATGATGGGCGTCCAAGCAACTTATATAGATGATAATCGTCTTTGCTGCGGTAGCATTAAACAAGGTGAACTTGCCTCTGTGATATACTCTTGTTTAAATGTTTTACAGATCCCATATATAGTATTATATACACGTGTGTTTGTGTGCGTGTGATCTTTTTTGTTTGATCGACGATTGCAATTTCAGAAAAATGAAGACAAAACACACAGCTTTAATCATCAGAATAACCATGTCGTTACCCTTTGTTCTCTAGTTTGCTATTAGAGGCCTGCATTTCTCCCTTCGATTTTTGTGAAGGGTAATGTAAACACCCGTTTTTGTCCGGGTCTAAAAAAAATATTATTAATTATATTATTATTATTATTTTAATTTACATTTTACATATTTTTTGCAAGCCTAAACCTGAGCCCAATCACAAGCCTCACCCAAAGCCCAACTACAAGTTTAGGCCCAGCACCCAATAACCCACCAGGAGCCCAGAAAAGCAAGCCCACTTAGCAACCCAATCCCACAGAGCAGACCTGAGGCCCGAGATTCGACCCGCTCTAAGCCCAACACCCAAACCCGTTAGGGTTTCTCATCTAGGGTTCCATGCACCGCCGTCCAGCAACTGTTCAACTTCCCACTGGCGCGTGGACTTCACTGCTCAGTCTTCCCGCCGCGTGAGCCGCAGCCGAACACTCTCGAGCCGTCCCCGAATGTTTCCCGCCCAATATTGTCACCCACAGTGATCGAAAATGCATCCATCAATCACAAAAACAAATCACAGTCAAAGCAAGTACAAAAGCAATCTAAAGAAAATCTTATTTATGTCAATCAAGAGAGATAGGATAATGATATCCTATCTCCTCGGCAGTGGATCTATGAGGCATGCAAATAAAAAAAAGAAAGAGAAAAGAAAAGGGGAAGGGGTTCAAGAAAAACAAAAATAGGGAGAGAATAAAGGAGAGAGCAAGAAGACGAAGAAAAGAACAAAAAAATCATATTTGAAATAAAGAATATCAAAGAGAAAATGAAGGAAAAACAAAAGAAAGTAGAGAGTGAGAAGGTTTTTACCTTGATCGAACACCGATGAAAGCCAAGGATCATCGAAGTTGAAGAAACCGAAGGGTTTCTTCATAGATCTATGGCGTTTGAGCCATTTTTAGGCCAAGCCAAGCTCGAACCAACATCCATGGCGAGAAGACGCTTCGAATGACGTCTTCCTCTCTCTTCTCCGACGCCAGCGGACGACGATCATCGTCGGTCAACGACGGTCGGCATAGCAGAGGCTCGCCGGAAACTGGGAATTGCAGCTTTCGGTTGAAGCTCTTGAGTGAGTTCTCTCTCTCTCTCTCTCTCTCTCATGCAAAACGGGGAAAATAAGCAAATGAGCAAATAGGTCGGTTTTGGGCTTAAGGGATGGATATATATACTATACATGAAACGACGTTGTTTTGAGGGGGATGGGTTTTGTAATTTTGCGCATGGGGTAAATATCTATTTTAGTCTTTTGTAATATACCCTTTTTGCCATTAATATAATTATTTTATTATTCTGTTTTGGGCTCTCATCTTTCAATTGTTGTATATAAGTCACCATTTTACATGTTATGCTATTTTTGTTAATGTTTGACTCTGGCCATGGTTTTTGTAAATGTTTCATTTTAGTCCCATATGATTGTTATTATATTTATTTAAATGTTTATTTTTTTACTGTGATTTTGTGTAACATATGTTTTGGTCACTGTTTTAATATTGAATGTTTTAGGTTTAATTATATTTTAATCCTCCATGTTTCTGGTGTAATTTATTTTAGTCAGTAAACATTATTTATGGGCTATTCTCATTTCTGGTGTCTGTATTTGTTTAAAATATATATTAAGGCTCTGATTTGTTCATAATTATTGTTTAGTTCCTTTAAGTTCCTGTTATTCTCATTTTGGTCCATTAAATGCTTATTTTTTATATTTTATTTTGGTTTCTAATGTTTATTTATTTTTATTTTAGTCCTTCATGTATTAATATATACATTGTATTCAATAAACGCTCTTAGCCACATTTAATGTAAATATTTTATTTCGTATATTGCCAATTGCATTTATTTCCATTATATTTTTTGTTGAGATACCTGAATGTTTTTCAAGAACACCGATTTGTAGACTGAGCGTGGAAAGCACTATTTGGTCGAAGTAGTGCGATCTGATACGACATTCGAACAAAGTGTGAACTTGAAATAAACCGATTTTACTTTTCTAATTAATTCATATTTAGTTTAAATTAAACAATGCAATGCATGTTTCTATAAATAGTAATTTATTTTATTTTATTGTAATTGTCGATAGTCAATTTATATTCAATTTATTTTTTTTTTAAATCAATGAGGAGAGAATATTCTTTTACTGATAAGAAATAGATGAGATAGTTTTCCCGATGGAGGATTGCTAATCTCGAGATTTCTTTTCAAGTTAAAGAATTTTTCCTAATAAACAATTCGAAACAAATTAATCAATGTTCAATAAATGGATTATATTTTTAACTTTATATTCGATTTGTAATTTCCACCATTACAACAGCGTGTAAGTGACATAGTACTAATTTTGGGCGCTTGGGGTGCTTATCCTTCCCTATGTGTAATCGACTCTCGAACTCATTAAATCGAATTTCCAGTAAATGCAGACCAATTTTTGTCTTAAAAACAATTTTTCTTAAAATTGTTTTAAAAGACGTTTTTAGGTATTCGACCTACCTAATCCAAAGGTCGATGGCGACTCTTTATCCAATTTCATCCAAATTAATTCCAAATCACCAATTTTCAAAATAAAAGTCATAATTGTTTTTTAAAATAATATTTAATTGTTTTAAAAATGGTTATGACAGCTTGATGACTCTACTAGAGACTTTTTTAGAGAGTTATGCCGTAAGTCGCTTACACATTGACGTTGTGGTGGAAATTATAAGTTCGAGTCTATAGTTAACTTATGATCCATTTATTGAAGCTTTTTAATTTCTTCATTTTTAATTGTGGTACTAATATTTTAAATCATTGTTTTCAGCAAGTGTTCAAGTCTCTATTAAGAGTTTTCTTTTTTCTTTAGAGTCAAAGCTTTGTACGCTCCTCCTCACACACATCACGTGCATTTGAATGACATAAGCTCTAGACTCGAGCTTCGATCCAAATAAGTCGGGTGAATTCTTTACTCTCGTAAGAATTTATTCTTCGTATGAGTTTTAGCAAATAACCCACGGGATACATACCTTATACCTTCGTAGGGATTTATTCCTCGTATGGGTATAAGGCAGTGAATCCCCTCAAATTGAACTTGTTCCGTTCAAAACCTATAATGGGTGAGGATCGAGGGTTTGGTAGCCCAAGGGGGCAGCGACATCAAAGACAATTCGGGTACCTTGTTCTCATATAGTCGAAACCATGCATATAGTGAACCGTAGAATGGTCACCCTAGGTGTAGTCATACCGAACCTCTGTCCGTCAGTAGGTATCCAAAATAAGTGTACACAAAGGAGGAGTGTCTCTAAACCTTTACATTCTACTTTAAATTCATAGAATGAATTTCTTTTCGAATAAAAGCATGCGAACTAGATACCATGATGTTAGGAATAATTTCTTGAAAAAATCATTTTGGGTAGAAAACATATTCGGGTAGGAATATTATTTAATAAAAGCATGTTCGGGTAGATATCATGACGGGTAGGTGTTATATTCATCTCTGAATAACATTTTTATATGTATCAATTATCTTACCAATACTAACTTATTTCTTTTCTTTTGTTTGTGTCATTTTCATCTTTTTTTTGCATTGCATCTCATCGACATGACATAATACGAAAGTGTTGATCCACAAGGGGATATTCGAGAGAAAATCTTCACAAGAAGAGATAAAAGTTTTCAACTAAACAGTCGCGTACACAGATATGCATCGAAGGTTAAAAGAAGTTAAGAGAGTCCAAGAATGATACTTGCTCGAAGATAGTGCAACATTCGAGACTGAAATGATGATCCACTGATTCGAGGAGTAATCCAGCAGTAGAGTCTTATATACGATCATTTCATCACTAACCATCAAGGAGCGACGCACTGACTTCAATACCGCCAGGGCAGTAACAGAGTTAGGTTATAGAATGCTTGAGGGGCATCATTTTCAAGGAAAAAGATCCGATATGAAATAGCGATCCATTTCAGACTCAGCATCTAAGCGAAAACGTGTCTGTGAAATGGACTGTCTTGTAATGTGAAGGCTTTTATTTCTGGTGAAAATTATTCTATGGTATTCATAGTTGGGATCAACAATTTTTGCATCTGCATTTTACTTTTTATGCATTTTCACATGCATCATTCATAAAAACATGGAATTAATCCGCGGAGGATTCGATGAAGTGGTCCTAATCACGTGACACCACATTGAGAAGAGAAGTAAGATTCGAACAATTAAAAGAATAAGCTGAAATCAGTACGGTAGGAGCCTGTTCAGCTGGTTGTAGGGTTAAGACTTCCAGGATGATCCAAGAAAAGAGTCCTCGTTTTTTTGATGTCTATGATGTTGATATCATATGCAACTATCACATAGGAAGTTTAGGACATTCCGCTGAGAACTGTAAGGTACTGAAGCTCAAGATCCAGAACCTGATGGATTCAGGGGGCATGAGAAATCGAAGAATGATGGGGGCATTGCATCTACCACTTGCATTGAGAGCATTGTTTTGTTTGAACTCGTTTTTTGTTCTGTCTTTCATATTTGCTTAATCTTTTGTTGAGAAAAAAATTTTGATATTTCTATATAAAAAAAGTGTTAATAAAATTTAAGATTGAATTTTAAGATTTTATATTTGATTCAAAATTATATATTCGATTAAATTATTCGATATCAAAAATATTACTCCAAGTTTTCAAAGATCAATTTTTACTCCTTACTTAGCGAAAAATTATGGTTTATACTTAAAATATATTTTGGAATAATTTTTACAAAGTATTTCAAACCATAATCGAGTCAAAATTGAGTTTTAAATAAGGAGGTATCGATACCTTCTTAAGAGGTACTGATACCCCTCAAACATCGAATGCAAAAGAGGTACAGATACCCCACAAGGTACCGATACCCCTTTAAATAGAGGTACCGATACCTAGCCCATAGGTACTGATACCCCTTGTGTTGATTTTGACTCCTAGAATAA